ATACTTATAAAAAATAAATAATCAAATATTAAAATTACCATCAATCACAATTACAATATAATATAATTTAATACAATTATAATTACAATTATGATTACAGTAATAATATCTCGTAATGATTCCAAATACTCCATTGATAACAACGTTAGCTTCCTTTATTTGCATGTATCAAAGGAAAGAGGGTAGGAGAAGTAGAGAACTGAGTAGGGCTGGGCATTTTTTAACCAAACCAATTGTTTACCTGAAAACCGAACCGAAAAAATGAATTTGGTTCGGTTTCAATGGTTTTTGGTTTTATTTTTTTGGTTTTAGTATTAATCAAATATATTTTGGTTCGATTTCGATTGAGTCTCTCAAAAATCGAAAACCGAAAATAAACCCAAAATAAGTCATTTAAAAACTAAAATTAAGATAAATATGATAAAATATGTGATAAAATATAATATATTATTAAAAAATAATTGATTATTATTTATTTATCAAAAACCAAAATCAAACCGATTTAAAACCAATTTATTGATAACCGAACCGATCATTTTTTGATAATTTCAGTTCGGTTTCGGTTCTCAAAATTAAGAAAAAAAATTTGGTTATTTCAAAACCGGTTTCGGTTTTAACCGAAACCGGTTTTTGCCCACCCCTAGGCAGTGGCAAAGAGGGCACGAATCTATATGCAATTCCATCCACACGATCTCTATTTTAATACTGCCTCATGGACATGGTCCCCGACCGAAAAAACCATACCTACCAATCATTGGATTATATCATTTTTTAAAATTAATTTTTAGGCTTTTTTACATATATTTTTAAAATATAAATGAAAAATATAATAAATATATTTTTTATAATTAATTTTTATTAAAAATATAAAATTTAATTTTAATTTAATCAATTAAAATTATTCACATGTAAGTTGTATTAAAATTTATATCAATTTTTATAATTTTTTATATGAATTAATTATAAAAATATATATATTTATTGACTTTTAATTTACATTTTTAATATACATATTAAATAAATTTTTAATTTTTTAATATTTAAAAATTACATTAAATCTAAATTAATTTAAAATAAAAAATATTAAATTCTATAAAAAAATTTTAATGCTTACCCTCTCTTTCATAAAATATAAATTTAAAATTTTATTTTAAAAAATTAAACCTTTCTTATTCATACCAACAAATTATTATTTATTCTATCATTCTTCTTCCTATCACTACTAGAATTAGGGTCTTATTTGGTCAAGCATCTTGACCGAATAAGTGCCAATTTTGACTGAATAAGAAGTAATTCAATTAAATTACTTGATCGAATTGTTAATCCAAATAACCTTTGTAGGAAATACTAGTTCGGACAAAATTCATCTTGACTGAAAATGTTGGATAATTTCGGTCAAAAAATTTGACCAAAAATATTATTGGGAAATCTGTTATTTTAGATTATTTGGGTCAAAATATTTGATCGAAAATGTTATTAAAAAATATTTTATTTTAGACTATTTTGGTCAAATTTTTTGACCGAAATATTATTTTAAAATTAAAAAAATTAATATATTTGTGTAATTATAGTATATATATAATTGTTTTTTTTTT